TCAGAAAGAACATACTGAGGAAGGTGAGTTTTGAATGACTGGGAAAAACAAAATGATAGTAAGGAAGCAGAGAAAGAATTTCATACATGGAAGCAAGGTATATAGCTTTGTTTCATATGAAATAAATTAGAAAAATGATAGTAAAGATGGTCAGTTGATGTGTCATTATTTAGAAAGACAAAATATAGAATAAAGACAAAATACAGAATTTTGGAGGTTTTGATCCATTTTCATTTACTTGCTCAGTAAATATTTATTGGGCACCTACTACTGTCAGGTACTGCTGCAGGCACTGGGAATATAAGAGTATAAAACACCAAGTCCCTACTTTTATGGAATTAGACAATAAACACTAAACGCAGACAAAATAATGTATAATTTCAAATAATTATAAGTGTGAAAGGGCAATAACGTGGTAACAGAATTGAGGATGGCTTGGAGAGGTGGTGGTGGGCACTATTTTAGGGAGAGCAGTCAGGGAAGGTCTCTGGAAAGGTGACACCAGCAGAGACCTGAAAGAAGTAAGGAAGTGAGCCATAGAAAGATGTGATAAAAGAGGGTTCCAGGCGGAGAAACAACACATACCCTGAGATAGGAATTAACTTAAGATCTTTCTGAGGGTCAGAAAGAAAGTCCAGCATGGCTCCAGCATTGTGAAGGAGAGTGAAAACATACACATTGAGACTGGGATGGTGGGAAGGAACCTGAATATGCAGGAAATCCTAGGATATGTTAAGGAACTTTTATTTTATTCTACTTTCAATGGGACGCCATTGGCAGTGGAAGCATAGAAATGATATAACTGATTTATAATTTAATTAACTCTGGATGCTGTGAAGGGAATGAACTTTAGGCAGTGGAAGTGGGTTGAAGNACATATTTCCCAAGAATTTTTCAATCTTTAAGTTTTCCGCTTCTGTTTTCAACAACCAGCCTTGATATAGTTTTATTAGCGTGTGATCCAGAGAAAATGTGGGATGTATCACTGATTCCTGTGAGTCCAACTGTCCTATTTTTAATAGGTATCTATAGCTATGTAGTTGACAATAAACTATTTCATAAATGCCAGCCATTTCTCACAAGTTTTAAATCGCTTTGCTTTCTACCTGTAAAACACTTATGGAAATGATCTTAATTTTTTTTCTTTTAAGTTGAACCTTAGTTGTAATAAATAGAAAAAAATATGATTTTTTATAAAGCTTCTTTCAAAAAGTGTTTGACTCAAATGTGGGTAGCCTAGTTCCTAAACTGGAGCTTTGTGAGTAGGTAAAATAACATTTTTTTAGAAAAATGTAAAATTAGCAGTATATCAATCAATTTATCTTTGCAGACCTGGAATGGAATTCTAGAAACTCAGTCTGTTCCCTCTGTTCTATGTGGGGCACCCTATCTGGAGCATCCCTGCTTGCTCCATTTTATTTCTTGATTGGAGTAATTCCAATATGTGGACAATTCTGATGCTAAGGACAATCCATTTCTCATTCATTGAATGAGAATAGAGTTTCTCCAGTCAACTACCAGAGGTATCACTCAATTGAAGATGCCTGCTGTGATAAGCCAAAAGAATCAGAGCTGATCTAAAGGGATGAAGGCAGTCAGAAAGAACATACTGAGGAAGGTGAGTTTTGAATGACTGGGAAAAACAAAATGATAGTA